CCCCGCGCTCCCGCCGAGGGACCGGGCCGCCCCGCTCGGACGGACAGTCCCGCCGGCCAATGGCGAGCGGAGCGGCCAGACCGTGAGCGGCGCGGGGCGGAAACGCGCCAATGAGGTTTTGGTTGCTGGGCTCGATCGGCAGAGGAACTACCCAATAGGAAAATTCGCGGCGCGGGAGCAGCGCGCTGGTTTGCGTGCCCGCCGCAGGCAGGCAGCGCGAGGCAGGGGTCGCGGCGGGACCGCCGGCGGGTGTGGGTCGTGGCCTCGCTGCCCTCCCCGGCCCGCCGGCCGCTGTGGCGATGGCGTGGGGGCAGAGGGGGGTGCCTCTTCCCTTTCGCTAGTACTTCCTCCCCCCCAGGTGTGAATGCTGAGGAACGATAACGCCCCGCTTAAAAAGAAAAAAAAAGAGTTGGAAAGAGGGTACTCACAGGGGCTGACTGGGAAATGGGTTCCCCCCCCTCCCGGCGGGCCTCTCCTGAGGGACGCTCGACCGGCGGTTATTTTCTGAAGCGTAGTTTCGGAAAGGGCACGCATTTTTCTGCGTTGCCCTTGGACCTTTTTTTTGGAGCGGCCTCGAGGGCCGTCGGGAGGACCGCGCTCCTCCGGCGGCGGCGGGCGGCCGAGCTGGGCTGAGGGAGCGGGGACCCGGAGGGCCTGAGGGCAGCGGGTGTATGTGCTTTGTAGAGAGGAGGAATCCCCCGCGTGCTTTAAAAACGCAGCCAAAAATCTTGGTAGAAAAGGTAAATGCAAGAAAAGGGTTAACGGTCGCTGCCACCTCCCCCTCCTCTCCGCCGGCTGGATAGAGATGGTCTTGGATACCCTTTGTAAATAGGAATGTGGAGGTGGGAGGGGAAAATCAGCCCGACTCCGTCCGCTGCGTTCGTCTCGGTGGGTAAGAAGGCGATAGAGAGGCTGGCGCAGCCCGGGTGCTCTCCCGGGAGAATGCGCGGGGGGACGGACGCGCCTTCCGCGGGCGCCGGGAACCCGCGGGGCTGCGCCGGGGTGGGGAGGGCGTGAGCGGCGGGCGGGGAGCACCGCGGAGGGGGCTCCTGCGCCCGGGGAACGGCGGGCGAGAGAGGAAGACGAGGGGCTTGGGTTGACATGCTGCCCAGCGGTTGCCGAGTATTTTATTGAAGAGTTGGTGGGGTTCTCCCCCCCCTTCTTTTTTTTTTTTTTTTTTTTTTTTTGGTATACCCGCCTCCTTGAAGCCAGCAGAAGCAAGGAAAATAAGCTGAGAACAGAGAAATAAGAGAAGACGGAGGAGATGGTGAGCATATCATTGGGTTGGGGGGAATGAATGAGGTTGCCGGGCTATTTTCTGTTGAGATGTTCTTGCAGGGTGTAGTGCGTTTGGGATAATTTTGCATTACGACTGCAGACTAGCCTTCTTTGTTTGCTAAAAATTGCTGTTTAACAGCGTTCATCAGTTTATTGTGAGATACGCAACGAGGAGTTGATATGTACGAATGGCTAAAATTACATACGCAAGCCACACACACAAGCAACCCCTAAACAAACCAACATTGTATTAATCCTGCAATATGATGGGCAGCTCTTGTCATGGAGGGAAGTCATTGCTCAGGTTATTTGTGGCATGCATAGATGAGTCTCTTTGTAGCAAAGACCAAACAAAACTAACCTATTTCTTCATAAACGTGAAATCTATTACAGATCTAAAAGCTAAAGTTAG